TAAGCATCCCTCATCTGCGAGTGGGGTTAGTCATAGCCCAGGACCCTGGGAGACTCCTTCCACCCCCACCCTGCCCTGATCCCAGAGGCGTACAGTCAGCGCTGGGGCTCCCACTGGCCAGGCCGTCTGCCAAAGACACATCCAAGGGGCGAAGCTGTGCAAACTGGGCGGGGGACACCAGGGGCTGGGAAGAGGCTGCAAAACCAGCCCAATTTGGATGCCAAGGAGGTTGTCTACGTTTGAATTTTAGGAGTGTGGGGAACTCTACCTCCCCAAAGAATTTCATTTATCTCAGGGGAACACTTAAATCCCATTATTAGATCCATAGTTTTCACCTTTATCCAAAGCCACAAGCCACTGTCATACAAATGTTCCCGTGTGGTATCATCAGTCACGTAACTCAAACACAAAGAAACAGACTTGTTGTCCTAAGAAATTTCTGTCCTTAGGTTTGCTGTAAGGAAGGGAAGTGTGACACCTTAGGAATGAAGAGAAAGGGAATGACACCGAGGGACCCCAAGCTGATGGATGTACAGGCCCCTAACATATTAACAAAGTAAATTAAATACAAATAAAAACAAAACCAGCAGGCTAGCCCCTTACTTGCTTTTAAAATCTGGGTTACAGCCTGTTCAGTTCTGAGAGCTTCCCCAACAGGATCGCGGTTTGTGAACTTGGGAAGGGATTTGTGCTTGCCCTTTTCTCCCTCATCTAAGTCGAATCTCTGAAGGCTTAAAAAAACGTAACAGATATCCGTCGGCGTGGGAAGGGGCACCCCTGAACACATGATGACCAGCTCTCACGACAGCGCTCATTAGAAAATGCACCCTTTCCGTAGTTTTTCCTTAAAACAGCCTCCATGAAGATGTGGAAAATTCTACTGAAAAATCGTCCTTTATAAGACATTTAAATATCATACATTATATTGAAGCAAACTACAAAACACACAACCTCAAAATTCTAAAATAGATGTAGGTACTGTGCAATCATAAAATCAAGTAGTAAAGGAATGTGAACATCCAGTTATAGCCTCCAGAAATAAACTGGAAAATTATCCTGTTTAATCATTCCTAGACAACCGTGCTCAGCTAGCTCGCCACATAGCGTTTGTCGTTCATGTACAAACAGCAGATCCATCCATGCTGTGGACTCCAGCTCTACATTCACGTCTATTTACTGAGCACTTCCTGTATTGTGCTAAGATCCTTATGTCCATTATCTCATTGACGCCTGCATAAAATCCCAGCGTGCATACTAGTTATCCCCCTTTAACAAAAAAGGAAAGTGAGGCTTGGAGAAGGCAAGTAGCTTGTCCAGGATAAGAGCAAGGATTTGAACCCAATTCTAGAGCTGAAAACCGCAGCCCCTGACTGAGGGGCCTTCCCACACGGTTCACACTCAGACCAGGTGGCTGATGCCCCTGGGAGCTCCTCCACTGTCTTACAAAAGACCTCGCGAGATTTCTGGTTGGGCAATCAACACGTGCCGTTCTCATGAGACATCTGAGAGCTAATGACAGGATGTCACATCCACCCATTTTCATAAGATGACTAAAAGAAATTGTGTGAAGTTTTACATACATCTGGTCATTTCCACCTTTCTTGGGGGCTTGTACTGTATTTTATAATGCTGTGTTGTGAATTTTAATTATTTATATTTAATTATATATTGGGTTGTCAGAAAACTCACGATGCATTTTTGCAACGAAAAACATAGAAAAAATGTCATGACTTTTCCAACAGTCCAATACAAAAACTTCAACAAAACTGCAGTTTAAAATGTTTTCACATTTCTGTCCGATTAGCTGCACACACCTCCCTGCCTGCTGAGCGGGGCCTGGCCCCCGGTGCCCGATCACGTGTAAAGCTTCTTTATAAAAACAGGTGCCCGGGGTCGACTCACACCTCTGAATCGAAAATTCTGGGAGTGCTCAGTACACCCATATTATAAATTCTACAGGTGTGTCTGATGTGCAGCAGGGTGGAAAACGCCAGTTTTTAATTGATGAGTGCTGATTTCAGTTTGATAAGAACACCCAGACTTCACCAAAACCACTGTTGTTTTTTAGACCTTGCTCATTGGTTTGCTGGGCTATGAAAGCAGAGCTCGCATGAAGTCACCTACTTCACCTGGCTCCGTGTGCTGTTATCATGTCACCTCTTCAACAGACCGGGGCTTGTCTGTGATGTACATAAAAGCGGGCTTTCTCTTTGGGGTCAGTTTCACTGTATTAACCTTTAGATCTTTGAAAACATAAATAACCCTTTGACACCATAGTTCAATTCGTTTCCAAGGAGCTGACATGCCCCATCCTCACCCACTCCATTACTGCATCTCTATAGGGTATTTCCACACAACAGCGATCAAGAGTGATTCACCAACTGACCATCCTGGGCTGTTTTAACCCCTTCGACATTCCCCACTGACGCGAGCCGTTCCCTCTTGGAAGATCTTCCTCGGGACAGCCCTCTCACCTCTCGCCTGTGCTGTACTATGCTGGCCGCAGGCTCCACCTGGTGAGGAACTATCACCACCCAGGACCCGCCACTGTTTTTCCTTTGGTTCTGAGTCTCCTTTTACTGCAGCTTCAGCTAAAGTCGGGGGCAATTACAGTGATTAATGAGTAAATATTGGGAGCAAAACTTTCAAGAATAAAAACCAAAAAAATCCCGATGGTAGCAATTTTCAAAATTTAATTGGAAAGATAACCAAATAGTGGTCTTTCAAACAGACAAAACGTGTGTAATACCTACATGGCCTTTCTACATGCTGCAACCTGAAAAGCCTTCAAGGATCTTTGTAGGGCTGAGAACACGTGGTCAGCCGTGCTCACGACAGCGCCCCCTGCTGGCGTACCTTCCACCACGCACAGGGTGCGCTCCTCTTATTTGCCCCATTTCCTCCATCCTTTGCCAAAAGCGTGGCCACCCTCTTTGCTGCCTCCCATTGAAAACTGCATTTTATTAACCAACAGGCCTCCTGGACTAACACTTCTTTCTCAGAAGCCAGCTGAGACTGGACGTCGTATCTGGTGACAGTAAAAGGAAGTGACTGGAAGGTTAATCTGTCCACACCTCACTGCTCTGAAGAACACCGCCAAGTTCTGCTGCTGCACATGGTATGCCGAACCTGAAATGTACACACATGAATCCCCACCCCAACTTTTTAATAGAAGGACTTACCCTCAAGATGCAAAATGATGGAAAACAACATCAACTGGGATTTCAAGTAAAGAAGCTGTGTATTTGAAACCTGTGGGGTTCTAGGTACCTAGTTATTACATATTTAAGTGTTTAAATCATAGTGTTTTCATCAGAGAGATACCTTTTTGTCTTTTAGAAGATCTAAGGTTAAGAAATTGGAAAAACTAATAATGACAAATACCTTGTGCTCTTCAAGTCAAGGTGAATGTTATCCAAATCAGTTATAATGCAAGAACGCCCTGGTTATTATCACGTCTCACTGTGGGCAACTGAAATCTGGGACCTTGGCTGTACATAACGCCAAAGAAAAAGACACACACACAAACCAATGGACCACTTACCTTACTTAATGAGTCTTCCGTAAAAAATACCTAGCGCTTTAAACACAGGGACATGTAAACATTACTAGTCCAGCGTGGAAGCCCAGGTGACATCCACAGAATGGTTCGCAGTGGGCACACTGAGAGGGGCATTAAGGGGGATGATCAAGAACAGAATAAGCTATTTTCTCAGGGTTTTCCTTGTTCTTTGTACTAAAAATTATGTGCTGTATGTTTTCAGCCTAGGAAATAAGTGGAGGGAAGGAAAGCCTGGCTGAGGAATGACAACTTTGGCTCTCCTCTTCCTGACGCCAAAGGCTTCCCAATGGCGGGTCACTAGCCATCCCACACAAGAGTCTAAGAAACCTGCATATGGTCTCAGCTTTCCCCCCAAACTTAACCTTAAAATTCCAATTTTTTTTTCATTCATGGCACTAAAACAAAGTTCTATAATGAACCATCTCATCTATTAGATATGGTCACCACTACAAAAATGGATATAAAAATGAGTACTGAACTTGTGTTCCAAAAGCTTTATATAAAGGCAGGCCAAAAGGGAACTGGGATACTAGCCTAGAAGAAATTTAGTATTTGCTACCGCGTCTGTGTCTTTTGTGAATTTATTTCCTTTTAAGACTCATGACAGGAAGTTTGACAGCGAAGGGATTGGAAAAAAGGGCGTAGTGGCAAACAACGGTCATTCTGGGGGCCTTCTATAATTACTGCAGCCTCAATGATGTTTTTACATGTAGTTCTAATATTCATTCAGTAAAAATAAGCCTAGGTTTTCGGAGTTGGGTATCATACAAAATGTGCCACTTACCTAAGTAAAATGCTCATATCCTACAAAAAAACTAAAGGAAGTTTTCCTTTTTTACATAGGGTTAAGTGTAACTTTATGTAGCCAACCTGAATGTTACAGGATGACACTTAACTTTTTAAGATTTTGCCTTCTGAAAGCCACCTTAATATATACTTCTGCAGATTAATTTATAAAAGGAGACGACTTTAGGTTAGAAATTAACTCACTGTGGCAGAATTCTGTACTTTGTACAAGAAAGTCCCTGACATGCCCCCAGGCGGACCTGGGGAGGAAGAACAATATCATTTGTATTTCCTATTGCATCCAAGCAGGTCAAAGCCTGTTAAGAGAAACCCATCTAACTCTCATGTCCATTCTAAACACTACAAACTATTAGTGCTTTGAACCCAAGAGAACCTGTGAATATAATAATCACTCATATAAAGAATCAATTTTAAAATTCAAAATGATCTGTTAAACCTCCAATTTTTACTTTCTGAAATTTTTGAAGCCTATGTCGATGTAACTACTATTTTCCTTTTGACATATTTGACTAAACTTATAATTAGTATACCTACCAGACCATTTGACCTGGACCAGGTTAATTGCATAGGAAGATTTTTACTATGTTTACATTTTTCTTAAATTAATTTTAAAAAAGCATAGTAAAGAGTCTGAGGACAAATTATTCAACTGTTTATCATACATAAGACCGCATGACTATAATACAAAGGGGGGTTCTTTTTCATTTAACGTTACAATATACACAGCAAGTCCGGACCAGATCTTACAATCTGCACACAGGTATTTAACCTTTTCCATGCTGTTTATGTTTACAATGCACAGAAGTCCTGTAACCAAACCGTGTAGTAAAGCACACAAAACTGGACTGTAACATAACACAGTATGCAGAAGCACTGGGTTTTATGATTTCCTTTATGTAAATAGCGGTTTAAAAACTGCTTTCGTTTTTTTTGGTGCTTTTTAAGATGTGGCAACCAGCACAGAAAAAAAATGACCTGATCCATATAATATCTTTACCTCATAGTCCTAAACAGCAGTAACTTACTGAATTCCTTTTGATATTGCTATACTCAAGGTGATATCCTTTTATTCACTGTAAACCTTTATGAACTAGCAAGTTCAAAAATCCACAGGCTTGACATTACAAAATAAATATGGATTTCCTGATTAACAACAAAAAATTTTGTGGTTTATAAAAATGGATATTTCCACATTTCCATTCACATTCACATAGTTTTTTAAGCCTTTCTTTTGTTACTGTTTACATATAAAAACCTGCGTTTGTTCAGAAAAAAACGGACCTAGTCAGCCACATGGAATTGACCAATAAAAAGTAATGTGGTGTTTCTGCTGAGTTGTTCTGAAAGGGTTATCGGCAGAGGTAGATTACTGCTTCTTTTCTAGGCTTCTTTTGATCCTGGGCAGGTAAGTTACTCATCTTCATTCTCCCAATTCAACCGCTCAAAAGTATAACACCCTAAAATTGGTCAATTTAAAATGGGAACACAAATTTAGCAACTGCCAGACTGTGTTACATTAAGGCAGCATAATCTCACAACGAGGCACCTGTTCAACCCCAGCCTGTTCGCTTCAGGTCATGCATGAGAGTTTTGCTTTACTCGTGCTCATATTTGGACCTGTTGGTGCAACCAAGGTCTTGCTTTCAAGTTTACAAGAAGGTTAATCAGGAATACAAGAATCAACTGCTGGTTCCATAGCTTCTGGATCCAGTGTCCCTTTACCCTCAGAAGCCTGAACACATTTAGAATGTAACACGTTGTAATCTTGAATTAGATGTCAATCTATTATGTTCAGTACACAGATTGCTGTAAATGTATTGGCTATGGATTCAACAACAGTTCCAGTTTTGTTTAAGCAATAGTACAGCCATAATTTTCAACTGACATTTAAAAATGGTCTAGTTACACCTTGTGTCAAAGTGCAGAACTGCTACATTATTGGTTACAGACATCTATGTGCTATAAAAACAGCTTTGGTACAATAAATTATCAAAAAAGAAAATAAATTTTTGTAAAATTCACAGCATAATTGTGAGGCAAAAAAGCAGTCACATAAAATTCTGCATTTTTTAAAAATGTTCAGGATGAACAGAAGACATCTTTGTGCAGAAGAAATGGTGGAGATACCACGTGCCGAGAAAAAGCAAAAGAAAAAGTAAAAAGCAGGAAGGGACACAGCTGTAGCTATTTCCATCAAAGCAAACCACTACTTCTGTGACCTTCAACCAATAAGGAAGTCAACTTTATGACACACGCAAAGTGACCTTGCAATACCTTACAATTAGTGGGTCACAAAAGTCTATTTTAAAAGAAAGGCCTCTTGAATTACCCATTCTCTGTTTTCAGCATTAAGGACTGTCTGCAAAAGCATGTCCAAAAGTGATTGCATCTGAAATGGTAGGCTCTTCTAATTTCGAGTCCAAATCCATAAGGCCAAAGGTTATCCCAAAGACCACCACTCAGACCTCCCCAGGACTGGCCGCGACTGACCCGTTGATTGCTTCTCAGTGCACCTTGGTTGGGAGACCAGTCACGTTCCATTACTATCTTACTGTGGCCTCTCCCACAGGAGACCCACAGGATCCCGTGTAATTGCTGCTTTGCTCCTCAGTAGGTTCAGACAGGAGAGTTCTGATCCCCGCCACTTAGCATGCTTCCTGTGCCTTACAAACTCCAACACAACCGTCCCTTCCACACAGCTGAAGGTGATGTTTGTGTAAGCTGGAGGTCCCTCTTCCTTACAGTACTGCATTTCCGTGCCCAAGTGTGTTTAGAGGACTTAAAAACCCAAATTTCCCACCCACCCCCACCCAAAACAAAACAAAAACAAAAAAAGGAAAAAAGGAAAAAACAAAAAGGAAAAAAACACCCTCGTGGGGCCCTTTATGCAAATTATGTGCAGTGCCTTTTTATTTTAAAATTAGTTGGCAAATGACCAAGACCAACATCTGAACATTAACTTTTGTGGAATAGAAAGACAAAAAACCCCACTATGACTGGGATGTGGCAAGTTAAAATGAGGGAGGCCAAAAGAGGACGCCTCTGAGCTATCCATGAAGACGGGTTTGGACATGGCTCTTTTAAAAACTTCATTGTCCCTTTGCAATCTTTTCAAGTTAAAAAAAAAAAAAGTCAGCTCTGCCCTCCTGTAGCGGTTCAGTGTGTTAATCTCCTTCTGATTCAAGCAGCTTTGCACTTTGTTTTTTGGAAAAAAAACACCACTTCTATAAAAACACACAAGAAACAAACTCAAGTTTTGATTTAGTCACGAGCTAGCTACAGGACTCTGTTGCACACAAACTCCTGTCATGGGGGACTCCTCTCTGTCGGCCCCTTGCCTCATTGTCAGATGTCCTTCAGTCATGTAATGTGCAGGACCTGTATTAGCAGAGAACTGGTATGTTGGATGTCCGGCTATGCCAGTCTCTTGGCGGGGATTGGAGTAGACGGTTAAATTCACGTCCATAGCTCCATTCTGTCCAAAGTCCAAGGTGTTAGCAGCCACTGGGCGATTCTGGTAGGCCTGATTGCCTTGATTACCAGTAGAGGAAGAAGATGTAGAGGAAGAAGTCGTAGAGGAAGACAAGGAAGTCATGGAGTGGTGACTATGGCCAACCTCCATAGAATCCTGGGTAGAGGAGCTATTTGTTGGAGAATTGTAGACCCTTGGCCTGGTCCGGTTACCCAAGGCTTGTTGTCCATGGTGGTGGTGGTGGTGGTGATGGTGGTGGTGGTGATGGGAACTGTTTCCATGGTGATGATGCAATGCATTCTGTTGAGGGGCTACATGAAAGGTTGTTTCTTGAACAGGATGAGTTTCAACAGTAACTTGTGTAGGAGCTTCAGTGCCCGACCAACCAAGGGGAGCAGGAAATTGCTGGCGCACCTGTGAGAACAGATTTTTAAAGGATTTATATGGAGGACTGTTTGCAAATCTTACTCTTCAATCAAAACCAGAAACACTACCATTTACATTAATTTGGGGGAGTGGGGAGGTGGGATGAAACTTATAACGTGTTAGTTCTATAATGCAAAATTTCGAACATGTTCAAGAGTGAAAAATATTATGAAAGCTCCAATTTTTAGCAAGTTATACCCATGAATAGGCTCATATTTCACAGGCCACTTTCCTTCCTTGGAAGCACTGTTTATGCCAGGGGGCAGCAAACGTTTTCTGGGAAGGGACAGCTAGTAAATATCTGACAGGTCCAAAAGGAGCTCTTTACTCTCCTCCTAAAACCCTTGCTCTCTCCATCTTTCTTGTTTCAATAAAGTACTATCCATCCAGCTGCTCAACCATTCCTCCACCCAAACAAACCATCAGCAAGTACTGCTGAAGCCACCTTCAAATCAGATCCCGAACCCGGACACTCTTTCTCCATCTCCACCACCAGCACTCCATTCCAGGCCACTATCACCTCTTGCCTAGACTAATACAACAGCCTACTAAATCAGCTCCCAGCACTGTTCCCATCCCCCCAATTCCCCAATAAAAAAATCTTAAAAACTGTGGAATAAACTCAGTAAAGTTCCAAGATACAAAATCAATATACAAAAATCTGTTGTGTAAAAAAAAAAAACTGTTGTGTTTCTATACACCAATAATGAACTACGAGAGAAATAAAGAAAACAATCCCATTTACAACTGCATCAAAAAGAATAAAATACCTAGAAATAATTTTAACCAAGAAGGTAAAAGGCCTTTATATTGAAAACTATAAGACACTAAATGAAATAAATTGAAGAAGACACAAATACATGGAAAAGTATCTCGTGCAAATGGACTGGAAGAGTCAACAGTGTTAAAATGTCAATACCACCTAAAGTAATCTATAGAATTCAATAAAATTCCTCTCATAATTCCAATGGCATTTTTCAAAGAAATGGAACAGACAATCCTAAAATTTTTATGGAACCACAAAAGACCCTGCATAGCCAAAGCAATCTTGAGAAAGAACAAACTGGAGGCATCATGCTCCTTGACTTCAAACTATACTACAAAGCTATAGTAATCAAAACAATATAATACTGGCATAAAAAAGACACACAGATCAATGGAACAGAAAAGAGCGCCCAGAAATAAACCCATGCATATGTGGTCAATTAATGTATGACAAAGGAGCCAATATGCAATGGGGGAAGGGCAGTTTCTTCAATAAATGGTGTTGGTAAAACTGAAAAGCCACATGCAAAAGAATGAACTTCAAACACTATCTTACACCACACAAAAAAATCAACTCAAAATGGATTAAAGACTTCAACAAAGGACCTGAAACCATAAAACTCCTAGAAGAAAACATAGGCAGTGAGGTCCTTGACATAGGTCTTGGTGATGATTTTTTAAATCTGACACCAAAAGCAAAAGCAACAAGAGCAAAAATAAACAAGTGGGACTACATCAAACTAGAAATCTGCAGAGCAAAGGAAACCATCAACAAAGTAAAAAGGCAACCTAGTGAATGGGAGGAAATATTTACATGATATATTGGATAAGGGGTTAATATCCAAAATATATAAAGAACTCATACAACTCAATAGCCATCGCCCCTCCCCCCCCAAACAACAAGAAAAACCCACACAACAATCCAACAAAAAATGGGAAGACGCTCTGAGTTGACACTTTCCTAAAAGAGACATACAGATGGCCAAAAGGTACAAAAAGACGCTCAATATCACTAATCATCAGGGAAATGCAAATAAAATCCACAATGAGATATAACCTCCCACCTGTCAGAACGGCTATTATCAAAAACACAAGTAACAAGTACTGGTGAGGATGTGGGGAAAAGGGAACTCTTGTGCATTGTTGGTGGGATTGCAGATTGGTGCAGCCACTATGGAAAACAGTATGGAGGTTCCTCAAAAAATTAAAAATAGAACTACCTTATGACCCAGCAATTTCATTTGTGGGTATTTTTTCGAAGAAAATGAAAACACTAACTCAGAAAAAGATATCTGCACTCCCATGTTCACTGCAGCAATAGCCAAGATATGGAAACACACACACACACACACACACACACACACACACTACGGAATATTACTCAGCCATAAAAAAGAATGACGTCTTGCCATTTGCAACAGCATAGATGGACCTCAAGAGCATTATGGTAAGTGAAACAGGTCAGGCAGAGAAAGACAAATACTATATGATCTTTCTTATATGTGGAATTAAAACAAAACAAAACAGAAAACAAAACAAAAACAAAATAATCCATACAACGGTCTGCATGATCTGGCCAATGCTCACTTCTCCACCCTTTTCCTCTAGCCACGCTTCCTCCTGCTACCTGGGTTCTACCCACACAGGGTCTTCCTTCTATTCCTCTACCTGGTCAAGGTCTTTCAAACACCTCAGGATATTTGTGCCTACTGTTCCCTTCTGCCTAGAATGCTCTGATTTCTAATTTCTCCTTCGATACTTCCGTCCCATCATTTCATTTTGAGAGTCTTCCCTGACCACTCTGGCCAACACCGCCCCAACCCCTGTGGCAGAGGCTACTGGCCATCCACAAAAAAAATCTTCTTGAGCACACGGCTGCACTACACTTCCCAGCCTCCCCTACACTTATGTAGGTCACATGACTTAAGTTTTAGTCAGTGGAATATGAATCAAACTTTCTATGTCATGGCCAGGCCCGGCACACAAAATACCTCCCAAGTCCTTTCTGTCTGTTGGATGCAGCAAACAACTAGGCCCTCGGAGACAGAGGAGACACAAGATGGTAGGAGCCTGGCACCTGGGGAGGCGCCATGCCACTAACTTGAATACCTACTCTGGAGTGTTACATAAAAAAGAGCCTTGACAGTCTTTAGGCTACCGCCGAGTTTGGGGATCTACCTGTTATCTGTTTGGCCTTCTTGAATTACTACATCCCACCCAACAAATAGGCATTCTCTATTACATTATCCTGTCTTATTTTCTTTTTAACAGGTAATGTACTCGTAATTTCGATTCATTTGGTTAATTTTACTGTATCACTTGAAGCTCTCGGAAGGCGCATGTGTCTTATCATCGGTGGCTAGCACGGATCATTATTTACTCAGTGAAGGTGGTCTGAGAACCAAAATTCAAAAATACTACTGAAAACAATTCAGGAGAAAAACAAGCAGAAAGTTTTCTTCAGGAAATACTAGTGACTCAAACTATGAAGCTACTCAAATTTATGCATAAGAAGAAATAAGCAAAATAAAACTATACTCTGTCCATTTTTCATTTCTGATTGAACCAAAGGTAATCACACTGTTTCTCCAAATGCTGTTAGTGGAAAATGAATTGGTAAAACTATATTGAAGGCATTTTGGCAAAAGCTATCAAAATTACAAATCACTTTACTCTTTCACCCAGCAATTTCACTCTAGGGGTTTATATCACAAATCGCATGTGTGTGGAATGACGTATGTATAGGGTGGATTATTTATTACAGCATCATTTGTAGTAGTAAGACAAGACTGAAAATAAGCTAAATGTCCATTAGTAGGGGACTACATAAATGACTTATGGAATTGCTAAACAATGGAATACTGTGCAACTGTAAAAAAGGCAGCAGCAGCAGCTACCTATGTACTCATATAAAAATAGCTCCGAAATATATATTAAACGAATATGTAAAACAGTGTGTATGGTATACAAAGGATAGGTGAAAATACATATATTTGCATGTGCATAAATATCTCAAAAAGAATACAAAAATGTAACATTAATTAGAAACTGGGTGTCTAGAGGACATAAAAGGGAAGACCTCATTGAACCTCCTTTTATATTTACTTATTTTTTAACCATGTGATTATATCAAATATTCAGAAATCATATTAAAAAGGATTGAGGCAAATAAAGCAAAATATTCACTTCTGGTGGGAGGTCCAAGTGCCTTACGTTACCCTTGGTATGTTCTCCTGTGCTTGTAGTGTTTAATATATTTGGAGGGAGGAGGCTAGCCTTAAGAACTAGGGGGTCCTCTGGCAGTGGTATGTGTTAATACCTGAAGTATTAACAGCAGTTACCAAAGCAAAGAGGGAAGAGAAGAGTGTGTTCCAGGCTGAGCACAGTGAAGGTGAGAAATGTGAAAGAGAACATAGTATATTCAAAAAAGAAAAAATCCATAAAGACCACAGTGAATGAAGAGGACAATGGCCTGGGTGGGAGCCAGACCACAGAAATTGCTGTACCCTTTCTAAGAAGTCTAAACTTTTTTAAGTATAAGAGAAAGCCAGGGCTGGCCAAGTGGCGCTTTGGTTAAGAGCTGGCTTGGGACACCAGCTCTGAGCAGCAGGGCCCTGGTTTGGATCCCACATGGGGGGACCAGTGACGCTGCGCCCTCTACAGCTGAGATGCTGAACAACAGCTCGACCTGGAGCTGGGCTGCCGTGAGTCGCCGGCGACAGCGTGGGCTGCCGTGAGTCGCCGGCGACAGCGTAGGCTGCAGTCCCTGTTGCAGTGGGCTGCCATGAGCTACAGTGAGTGGCCGGAAGCCAGTGTAAGCGGCCGTGAGCCACTGTGAGTGGCCATCCAGAGGCCGGCAAGTGATCTGCCTCACCCGGGAAGAGTGCAATGATAATACCAATATGGGCCAGTGAAGCGACGTCCTCCACAACTAGACTGAAGAACAAAAGGACAGCAACTTGTTTGTTCCCCTCCCCCGAATTCCCCAATAAAATCTTAAAAAAAAGAGAGAAAGCCAAAAACTGGTTTAAAGTAAGGAAAAGAGCCAGATCAGACTGCTTTACAAATAAACATTCACTTGGCTGCAGAGGAGAGAATGTTGACTGGTGAACAAAACTGGACACTGGAAGACCAGTCAGAATATTCTTTACAATAAGAGAGGCTAGATATGACATAGCAAGGGGTGAAGGGAAGTGGAAATAATAAAAATATATTTATGATATTAAGAATCCACACAATTTACCATTTGATTCAATGTGGAGGATGCAGGAAAGGACAGTCAAGGATTAACGCCCTCTCTCCTCAAGCAAGGTGTGACTTGAGCAAGTCGGTCAATTTAAGGCCATTTGTACAAAAAATAAAAGCAGAAAAGCTGTGGTGGAGGTGAAAATGATGACATCAGTTTATGTGATGCATTTGCAGTGTTTGTCACGTTGTGGAGACTTTCAAAGTGACATTTATAGTAAACGATTAGAAATAAATCCCCGGGGCTCGGGAGTGAAGTCCAGGTCAGAATCGAGGACATACATCATGATACATCTGCAGGCCTTGTAACAGCAGGTGAGCTCAGCCAGGAAATGTGTCAGGTGAGAGAGAAAGGCCACAGGGCACCGCAAGAGGGACACCCATGTTTCCAGGGCAGTAGAAAAGAATCCCCAAAAGAAGACAGTTAACAAAAGGCCAGAGAAGTGGAGAGAATTAGGGCAGCGTCCTGTCCAGGAAACCAGGAGAGCAAGCGTGGGGAGCTGGGAGATGCCGGCACTGTCTGTGTAGCCGAGGAATGAGAGAGAGAAGCAACAGTGTCTGCTCGACTCCTCAGTAACCATCCCTGGTGATGCTGCGCGGGTTCCCTGGAGTTGGGAGGCAGCCCAACTAGACCAGGCTAGAGAGTTCTAGCCTAGTCTAGTCTAGTCTAGAGCCCAGACAGCAGAAATACAGGGCAAGCGAGACATGGGCCAGGGGCCAGGAGAAGGTGGTGCATAAGACGGGAGAGACCGGGGGGGGGGGGGTGTCCAGCGGCCGACAGAGACGGGAGGGAGGAAGGGCGAGGAGAGGCTGCCGGCACCGGGAGCAGAGGCTGAGCAAAGGCCTAGGTCCTCAGGGGCAGGATGGAAGCACTGCCTCTAATGAACAAGGGGCGGCAAGGGAGAAGTGGACAAGCAGACACGGAGGCTGGACAGGATCGTCCTGCTGGGAACTCCTCTTTCCCCAGCAAGCAGTGAGGACAGAGAAGGGGCGGCAGGCCCACGGTGGCCAGGAAAAGTCTGCAACAACTACGAAAGAGAATGGGGGAGACAGCAGATGCCTTGAGAAACCTGTGCGATCCCCAGGAGAGGCTGGTGAATACTAATAATTAACAGTGGTAACAGTGTTATCTCGTGTGTGTGCTCTTCCCCAGTGGCATTCAGAAGCCCTGGTCACAATGGGGAGTGACAGTCAACAACCTCAGTTTTACTTCAAATAACACAATGGCCTCTCATTATAAAGTACCATAAAAGCAGTGCTCGGGATGAGTTAACTTACTACTTTACATAGAGTATTTAATGAATAATGTTACCACCACCATCTGCTTCACCCCAGTTTATTAAAATTAGTTAATCAGATCCTCTTCTTTAACAGGTTTAAAAAACTAAAAGAAACCCATCCCGTCCCCTACCCACCCCACCCCACCCCCAAAAAATAATACAGAACAACATGAGGTTAAAATCAAACCACGAACTGATTCAGAATCTAGGCCTGTCGGTGCTGAACGCTCCTGGGTGGCAGCAGGACACAGTAGATAAGGTCGCCACCCAGGGAAAGTTACTTAGCCAGGACCTCTCTGTTCCCAAAGTAAAATGAAAACCCAAACAGTGTAAAGCTCAAAATGTTGCTGTAGTAAATGAGATGAACATAGAGGGGAGGAAAAAACATTTTGCAGCAATGGCTGGTGTGCACCCAATAAATGTTAACGATTTCTGAATGGGGAAATTACAAGAATGTGTTTCTTTAGTTATAAATAAGTCATAATTTCTTATAAATGAGGAAGCTTAGCGCCTTTAGGGTAAATGACACAATCCCTCTGAAGGCGTCTGGCAGCAAACACCGAGCGTGACGCTGAGCATGGCGGGGCTGTGGGCAGGTTCCTACCTGGGGACTGTGCGTCTCGCAGTCCATGGCCTGGACGGCAGCTGTGAAGTGCCCGCCGCTGTGCCGGTGCTGGTGCGTTGGGTCCGACCTGGCTCTCCCACTGTTGCTCGTGCCCGACGACCCACCTTAAGTATCGCAACCCAAAATAACTTGTGAGTTTAAAGTTCATTTCAGTCAAGTTTATATTCTAAAATATAACAGTAAAACTGAAAGTATGTCACACACACAAAAACTGCAGTAACAGAAAGTCACCTGATTCCCTCAATTTTTTCCACTGAACTAAAATATGATCACGTTTGGTTTTGCCAGGGGAAAATGCAAGCATGTGGACAAAAATTTCCATTTCCAAAACAATTACAAATTTGGGTTAACAAAGTTTTGTTTCCAGCTACCAAGCAGAACTTATTACATGCATAATTAAGTACTGAGGCTTTGGAGAAAGTGAATTTTTTACTTCACTACAAAGACTAGATTAGGTAAAATAATCCCTCACCACCCCATTAACAACTTATAAAAACCACTTGAAAATAACCCCCCCTCTGAGGAAAGCAGCAAACATTCCGAAGCCTAATCAAGCGGCACAAGGACAGACCTGAGCTTGACGACGTGCTCGAGGTGGTGCCCGAGGACTGTGACTGCTCCATCGCGGGGCTCGTGGACACACTATTACTTGTATTTGTACCTTCATCGGCTGTTTTCTTGAAAAAACTGTGCTGCAGGGCATAGTAAGGTTGAATTCGCGTTTTGGGGTCATAATCAAGCATCCTTAAAATGAGGTCTTTGAACTTCAAGTAGTCGGCTACCGTATGACCCGATTCCCCAGCACGACGCCCACCAGGCCCTCCTGTTTCTACTCCAAGAATACTGTGAAGTTTACGGGTTCCTGGTGGTTTATACTCCTAAAGAGAAAAAAGAGAAAAAGGCTTTCTCTGAATTTGATAGGATATGCAAGTCTCCATGACTTCAAATATGCTGAAATATATGACATGGTTAGGCATTTATTAAAAAGAACACTTTATAGTTAGATTTCTAGTGATTTTCACACATTACTATTCTGAAGGCACTGTACTTAGGAATTCAAAATAATCTTGAGACCACAAATGACTATAAAGATCATGTGGCCCTGGGGTCAGCAAACTATCACTTGGCCCAGGGCCTGTTTCTGTACAGCCTCAGCTATGAACAGCTTTTACATTTGTAAAGGTTGCAAAGACAGACAAAACCAAATTAAGAATACATGCGAGAAGCCCACAAAGCGTAAACCTTCACTCGCTGGTCCAATGCACCTGAGAAGGTGGCTACACTTCCTGTGGTGAACCCTCCAAGTATGCTCCACGTAAAGAATCATGGTCTAACCTATGTGCCATGTTTAAAGACATTAAAAGCAAATTTTATCTATGCCTTCCTTTAGAAAATACGTTGAATAATAAATTACCTTAACATGTGTTGAGGTTTTCTGAAAACTCATTTTTTAATAGATAAAATAAGCCTTAAAATCTCTATGAATATTGAATTTATTCAGAATAACATCACTGGATTTTTGCTTCTGCAATAGTTACAATGTAAAAATTTGCAAAAGACTACTGCTCTCACTCTAAAAGCAAGGACAAGCCTGGCAGACAAGCCATAAAATCACTGCTTTAAACAAAATAAAAACCCATCCGAGAGCAGAGGACTAAAGACACCAGAATTAAGTAAATTCTAGAAAGTGAGAAGCATTTTCTCCTTTTGGGAGGAGGAGCAAATGCCATGGATCTGGGTAAGGAGAGTCCAGCTCTACTCGGAACCAACTGCTAGCGGCTACATGTGGGTAGGCTAGAGGATGGGGACAGCCCAGACAGGATCACACAAAGCCCAGGTTCAGCTAAACTACAAACAAGGTTGAGTCAGTCCCCCAACTAGTGGTTGACAGAGAAGGAGGCATGACTAAGATTTTCATCCATCTCAACTGTTCTTAAACACAGAACGTCTGGTATACATTTAAAAACTGCAGACACGAGCCCACCCCACCCCCTGAAAAAAGGGTCCATAAAGTAGTTAAACAAAAAGAAAGAAAGAAAATGACCCACATAAATAAGTGACCCAGATGTTTGAATTGGCAGGCAGTCATTTTAAAATAAGTATGATACACACGTTAAAGAATTTAGTTCAGGAGTGGACAGCATGTGTGAATATATGGGGGATTTCGGGAGAGAAAAAGAAAACTATTTTTTAAAAAGGATAAATGGAAATGTGGAAGTACTAGAACAAAACATTCCAATATCAGAAATGAAAAATCCATTTAACTGTTTTAACAGATGAATGGATTCAGCTGGGAAAAAAAAAAAGAACTAAAAGACGGGGCAAAGAAATGATCCAAACTAAGACACAAAAATGAAACAGAATGAATAAACCAGAGATCCCTGAGGTAATATTCAGCACTGTAACATACACATATCTGGGGACTCAGAGAAGAACAAAGACTTACGCAGAACAAATATTTGAAAAACAAGTCTGAGGATTTTAAAAATTAATGAAAGAGATCAACCCACAAATCCAAGAAACTCAGCAAACTGAGGAAAATAAACACACACAAAAAATTATGCCTAGAAACATAACAGTTAAACTACTGAAAAATCAAAACATAAAGAGAAAACATGAAATCAGCCAAAGGGAAGAAGAAACATTATATGCAGGGAACAATTCTTAGAAAAACCACAGACTTCTCTTCAGAAACAATGTAAAACTGAAAACAATGTCATTAACATCCTTAAATAATGTCATAATATCTTTTTATATTTTGCTAAAATGTCAACCTAGAATTTTATACGCATGAAAATTTCCATCCCCCCAAAAAAAATCTTCCCCAAAATAAAGGTGAATAAAGGTGAAATATTTTCAGATAAATAACTGCTGAGAGAATCCATCAGCAGAAGTTATTCACTATAAAATAAAAACCTGAAGTTCTTCAGGCTGAATGAACATGATATCAGATGGAAGCCAGGAATTGCAGAAAGGAATAAAGAACTATATGGGTAAATAGAAAAGACCTTTTAATTAGCTTTATTTTTATGTGTCTTAAAATCTCTCAAAGTCATTTTTTATTTAAGCAGTGGATGATGTAGGCAGAAACGACTGTGGCAACTACACAAGAGATGGAAGTGGTTAGGTAAAAGCACATGGTTATCATGTGTACCAAGTGATATAACATTATGTGAGGGTCAACTGACAAGTTAAAGATGCACATAATAAAAGCAATACTAAAAATTACACACAAAGGAATAACTAAAAAGTCAATAGAGGAGATGAAATAAAATACTTAAAAGTACTTAATTATCTCAAAAGAAGGCAGGAAAGAAGGAAGGGGAAACAAAGAACTGATAGGACAAATAGATCACAAGACAGTCTAAAACCCAAACCTCTGAATAACTTAATGGGCTAAAAACATTCATTGTGAAAGAAAGAGACTTATCATGCTAGGTTAAAAGACATGACAAGTGTATGCTGTATACAAAAGTCATACTTTATATATAAAAGTATGAGCAGGTTTAAAGTAAAAGAGTAGAAAAAATACATACTATGAAAAATTTAAGAATAAGAAAGGTGGTATAGCTATAGTAATATCAGACAAAGTAAACTTAAAGACAAAAATAATATTGTTGGAGATAAAGAGGGACATTTTGGGAGGAGGGTGGTAGATGAGGGTAAACAGGGTCAAATATATGGTGATGGAAGGAGAGCTGACTCTGGGTGCTGAACACACAACGTGATATATAGATGATGGATTACAGGATTGTACACTTCAAACCTATGTAATTTTACTAACCATTGTCACCCAACAAATTTTAATTTAAAAAAAAGAGGGACATTTCATGATGAATGAGTGAATTTATCACGAAGTAATACTACTAAATGGGTCTACACCTATTAAGAGAGCTTCAAAGAAACATAAAGCAACTAAAGGGAGATTAAGACAAATCCAAAATTATCACTGAAGATTAACACTCCTCTGTTATTGATACAAAAAGTATACATCGACACACACAGTGAGGGATGTAAAAGATGTGAAGAAAAATATCAAACAGCCTGACATATATTGACATTTGTAGACCACTACACCAAATGAATATAAAATACAATTCTTTTCAAGTGCACATGGAACATTCACCAAGGTCATAAAACAAGTCACAATGAATTTTAAAGGAGTGAAATCATATTTTCTGAACAGAATGCTACTGAATTTAGAAATCAGTAACACTAAGATATCTAGAAAATCCTCATATATTTTGAAATTATATAACTCTAAATAACAATGGGTCAATAAAGAAATCACAGGGAAATTAGAAACATTTCAAAAAGAATGATAGTTAAAACAATATATCAAAAGTTACAGGATGCAGCTAAAGCAGTGCTTGGAGGAAAATTTATACCATTCAATGTTCTAAGAGAAGGAAGTTTTAAATAAATGATCTAAGCTTCCACTTTCAGAAGCTAGCAAAACCAAACTGAATCTAAAGTTAGAAGGAAGTAACAAAGAGCAAACATCAATGAAACAAAATCTAGATTAAGAATAGGGGAACAAAAAGATCAACAAAACCAAAAGCTGGTTGTTTGAAAAGGTTAATAAGTTTGATAAACCCCTAGCAAGAGTAACAGGGAGAAAAGGAGAAAACACAAATGACTGATATCAGAAATAAAAGAGAGGCTGTCACTACAGATCCTCCAGAAATTTTTAAAAAATGAAATATTATAAGTTTATGCTAACAAACCCAACAACAGAGATGCAAAAGACAAATGTCTTAAAATACATAGCTTACCAAAATTCATTAAAAACAACAAAAAAAAACTCTCAAAACACTACACATAGAAAACTACCTCTTCAACCTGATAGAGGGCCACAAAAAATATGCAACTAATATTATATTTAATGTTGAATAACTATATGCCTTTCCCATAAGACTGGGAACAACGAAAGACATCTGCTATCACCATTACTATTCAGTATATGGAGTTCCTAGTCAGTATAATAAAATAAGAAAAAGAAAGGCATAAAGATTGAAAAAATAAAACTGTTTATGCGTAGAGAACATGATTGCTTAAGTAGAAAACCCTACAGAATCTGAAACAAAAGAAGTAGAACGAATAGGTGAATTTAGCAAGGTCTCAGGGTAACTATGTATTAGCAATGAAAAATGAGAAAACAGCATTTTGAAAAATGACAAATGGCATCAAAACACCATTAAAAGCTTAGGAATAAATTGAACAAACTATGAATGAAACTTCTGCACTAAACACCACAAACGCTGCTGAGAGAAATTAAAGAGCTAAATACAAAAATAGGTAAACCATGTTCAGAGCTTGGAAGGCTCAATACTGTTAAGATGACCATTCTCCTGAAGGGAATCTCAATGCAATCCAAATAAAAAATTCCAGCAGGATTTTTTGTAGAAATTTATAAGCTGATTCTAAAATTTATATGTAAATAGAAGAATCTAGACAATAGAAAAAAATTTTTGAAACAGAAGCAAAAAGCTGGTGGATTTACACTACAGTTAACCCTTGAACAATACAAGTTTGAACTGTGTGGGTCCACTTATTTGTGGATTCTTTTCAATAACTATATTGAAAAATTTTCTGAAGATATGCGACAATTTGAAAAATCTCACATATGAACCATGTAGCCTGAAAGTATCAAAAAAATTCAGAAAATGTGAGGTATGTTATGAATGCATAAAATATATGTAGATACTAGTCTGTCTTATCATCTACTACTATAAAATAAACACAAATCTATTATAAAAAGGTAAAATGTATCAAAACTTAAACTCACAAACACAGACCACACAGGACAGACACCATTCACAGTTGAGAGAAATGTAAACAAGCATGAAGACGCAGTATTAACTCTTAACTGCGTAAA